CTTGTAAACAACTAAAGGGGGGTAACTTTTGGAAGTTCCTGTCCAAAAACCACTCGAACGATTTTGTCCAAAATGTGCATACATACAGTAGATATAGTCATGTACTAAATAAACAAAAATAACGAAAATTAAACGACAGGAATTTTTTGGGGTAGGTGTGTTGTACATCCTTAAACCAGAGGCCAGGAATTCTGACACAATTTTGAAAGAGGCACCATTTAAGTTTTATTTCATAATGTTGTTGATTAATACCAAAGTTTCAGATTATGTACCCTCCCCCCTCCACCAAGCACCTCTGTCCCAGGGGCCAGTAAAATAACCATTTTTGAAAGAAGCAGCTTTCTTCGTCATAATATACTAAGATCATTGGCATAAAACCCAAGAAAAAAGGAAAACATTTTCAAAGAATTCATGTATTTTCACTAAATAAACATTAGAGCCACACCCTAACACAAGAAGCCCTGACCCAGGGGCTCTGAAATTCACAAATCTCAAAGAGGCATCCTTCCTTCTCATAACTATGTACATAGTTCATTGGTTAAATACCCAGGTGTAGAAAAAAAAGATTTCTAGAGAATTTATGCATTTTCACTATATAATCAATAAAGCCCCACCCTAACACCAGAACCCCTAACCCAGGGGTCATGGAATTCACAAATTTGGAAGAGGCAGCCTTATTCAACATAACTACGTACTTGGTTAGTTTATTTAATACTCAGGAGCAAAGAAGAAGATTTTCAAAGAAATAAATCATTTTTACTATATAATCTATATAGCCCCACCCTAGCACTAGAGCCCCTGACCCTGGGGCCATTAGATTCACAATTTTAGAAGAGGCAGTCTTATTCAACATAGCTATGCACTTTGTTAGTTTATTTAATGCCCACAAACAGAAAAGAAGATTTTCAAAGAATTTTTGCATTTTCACTATATAATCTATATAGCCCTGCCCTAGCACTAAAACCCATTGCCCTGGGGCCATGAATTTCACAATTTTGGTAGAGGACTCAATGCTGATTACAATCATACTAACAGTTTGACTGCTTGAAGTCCAGGAGTAAAGAAGAAGATTTTTAAAGATTGCACTAATTTTAGTGGTTTTTGCCCCACCCCCCAGGCCTCAGGGGGGCAGGGACCATGAAATTCACAATTTTTGTTCCCCTTAACCTATAGATGCTATATGCCAAATTTGGTTGAATTTGGTTCAGTGGTTTTAGAGAAGAAGCTGAAAATGTTCAAATGTTAACGCACGACGCACACCGCACGACAGACGACGGACGACGACGGACAAAAACAGATAGCAATAGGTCACCTGAATTTACTCAGGTGACCTAAAAATTGATTGATTGTTTGTTGTTTAACATCCCTCTAAAGAATTTTTCACTCAAATGGAGACACCACCACTTGTTGGTGGGGAGCTGCAAAATTTGACCTAAGCTTGGCACTCAAGGCCATTGAGCATGCAGTTAAAGGGATCTTTTTCCTGCCAGCACCTACTGCATGAGACCTTGGTTTATATGGTATTATCTGAGGGACTGGTCTCTGTGTCCCACGGTGGATTTCGAACCTGCTACATAATGATCAACTTCTTACTTCGCGACTCTAGAGCAGATGCTCTTACCATTACACGACAAGGGCAACAATATATTATAGCCAAAAAGAATGTACTGAAGAAAAAAAATCATACTAATGCCTAACCGTTAGTGATCAATGTACATATTAATGCAGAAAACAGATTCAAATAAAATCAACAAAAATTTAAAAGAATTAAAATTTCGTAAACAATATTCCCCCTTTATGATAAAATATATATACCTGGTTTACCAGTCATTACATGTAAAAGGAAAGGTTGCATGGCAAAAAAAGTTAATATAATTAAATCACAGCATATTAATTTTTAGCTTTTCCTTATTTATATTTGAACTCGAACAAGCTGTATAATTATAAAGTTTACCTGATAGAGAGGAGGGTATGTACACTTATAGCCAACTGGCTCTGTTTGTATATAAAATAATCCCCCTCTGTCAAACACTTTCCTCCAACTGTTAGTCAGAATACAGACTCTAAAGCCTTGTGGGGTGTTTAAAGCCCTCAGACATCAAGAAATAAGTGTGTTTAAACAAACTGACAAATAGTGTATTATCTGAGGCAGTTATCAGTAAGTTGATAGAAGGAAAACACTTTTACCAAAGAAAGTGACAATTTAGAGTGAGTTTTTTTTCTTCTTCTTTTTTTCTCAAGAGCCTCTTTTAAATCACTCATAAGAAAATGTCTTGGACATGATATTAAATTTCTACAGATAGATTTTTTCAATAGATTAATTTATATTCATGCTTAGAGCAGTATAAAAGACCTTGTTCTCTATTCTTCTCCATGACTAGTAATATCAATTAAAGGCCTCAATCTTGGGAGGGAGAGATGGAAAATAGGTAATGCCTCCTGCATATAATCCCACGCACTTTCTGAATAAAGAATTGTTGTTTAAATCAAATTTAAGACATTTCAATAAATAAAAAAAATATTATAGATATAGGCTTTATATAGAATCCATACAAACTAATATCTTGATAATTTCATAAATGCACAATATCATTCATTGTGAACCTTAATGGTTGGCAAGCTATCACAAGGGGGTTAAGGATAAATAACACAAACAAAAATTTGATGCACAGATAGATTTCTGTTTTTTGACTGACTTTGCATGAATAAAAAAAGTAATAAATCCTTAAAATATAAAGAAATTACATGTATAAGTTTTCTTTCCTTCTCAGATATGTGACTTAGTTTTGTTTTCTACATATTAATTCTATACAATGTCAAACTTTTGCATATATCATTATCATAGTGACAAAATCAGCCACATTCTGCCACTTTACCTGGCTAATATAATTCAGGTAACCTATTTAAATATAAATCTATGAAAATTATTACTGATTTACGAAAAAAGTTTGTGTTATTTGTCCTTAAATGGAGAACAAAATCTTGATGGCAAAAAGAGGTTCTTGAAATAGAATTACTAACACTTTTGCAAAATTTTATGTCTATGTGTATTCTTTTAATGTCTTTTTGTTAAATGAGTACTTCTGGCACAGAAAATATGTTAAATATACAATTTGAACGAATAAAATGTGACAGACATGGTAGTGACATATTGGCAAGACTCAAATACAGCATCAATTACTGAGAACCTTTATCAGCTTGCTTAAATAAAACTTTTACTTATCTGTTGATCGAATTACTAGGGAAAAAAACTATTTACTTTTATCTTTATGTTACAGGAGTTCTGTAATAAAAACTGCACAGTAAAAAACACATTAGATAAAATTCTATTGTAAGTGTTGTGAACCTCTACACAAGCTGCACTGAACTAAGAATCCATTTCATACAATCATAAGAACTTTATAGTAATCCATATTGACATCTAATATCTATCATGCTTTTAACCCCCCCCCCCCCCCCCCCCCCCCCCCCCTCCTCTTTTCCCAATCATCTATGAAAAGTGAATAAAAGTCAAAAAGCAACAATGATATCTATACCTGGCTTAATTGTTCTTATCGACTACCAAAAAACTTTGCCGGTTTACTTGTCTCTTACAAGCACAAAGGGAATATTATCAAATGCATATTCTTAATTGAACTTCTAACTCATATGCAGGGTTCGACACTAACGGTAGACCGGCGGCCCGAGTCCACCAAAAAATTGGAAGGTCCACCAAACGTTCTGGGCTAGGTGGACCGTCGGTCCACTTAAAATTTGAACACCATATTCAAAAAACAGTGAAAATTTCAGGGGTTTTTTCCCTTTAAATCGAAATCTGTAACTCAAAATTATTAATTCCTCCATATCTGTATTCTACAAGAAATAAATATACATGTAAATAATGTTTCAGGTAATCAGAGTGACCTAGCAACTCGATATATTTTACATGTAAAATTGATAACTCCAATATTAACAATGGAACATTCAACACAGACTTTGAACATGAATAAGAAGCATGAAAAATCCATGCCAAATTAGCCAGTCTCTCCTCTGTTTACGTAATGCACAGAAAGGTGTGAAAATTACACTGGGTAACAGGAAATCGCTTCACGCTTCACGCCTCAACGCACACTGTTCGAGATAATTAGAATTGATTGACAGCTGCATTTAAGCATTGGTTTTTTTTAATGAATTATTATCTGCAATTTCATTTTTTTCTTGATATACATTATATCACTACTTATTTGAATAAACAATAAATTTAGAAAATATTTAATACACATACATGTACCTATGTCAGTTTTGCAGTTTAGTAAAAAATATCTAGCCATAGATACATGAAAAATTGAATTGTTTAATCTGTGAACAAATTAATTAATAATTGGAATTTTAAATTTAAGCTACCTTAGAAGCGAAATAAATGTAGGTTTTCACCATTGTAACTTAATGATAATTATTAAAATATTTTTTGGTTTGTAGATTAATACATTTTTTTTTAAGTTTTACAATATTTCAGAAAAAAGTCTGACTAGTCCCTGATTGATTTTTCTTTTGTTGACTGGTTAGATTTATGCTTTATTAGACTGACTGGAATCGTTATATATATTTAGTTAGTTTTAATTAATGCCTTGTGTAATGATTCATTAGTTCAAACATTTTTAAAATTGAGAAGGTCCACCAATAATTTTTGACAAGTGGACCTGTGGTCCACCAAGGTAAAAATGTTAGTGTCGAACCCTGATATGGCTAAAATAAAAATGAGTTATTTGAGAGGAAAGCCATCAAAAGAAATATTGATGTATTCTAGTCCATATTTAGTTTTAAATACATTGAAAATCATCATAAAAGTTTTATTATTATATATATATAACTACAGGTACAAAGAAGCTGACAGTTATTCATTTACCTGGAGACGAACCAGATTTCTACTTCACAGACAATTGCCTATTTTTTATTCCATTCTTAAGTTACCATAGGAAAAAGGCTGAACCTGCTCATAAGAATCTACATCAGGTACTTACTAGGTATCCACCAGTAGAAGCACTTTTTGCCTTGGCCATTGGTCGCCCCCCTCTACTGTAGTTGGCACTCCTTTTTGAGCTGTATGGAGAAACTGATTGGGTAGTCCTACAAACGAATAAATCAGTGCTAATATCACATCCAAACATATCTCGGATATTTAACCTCTTTTAATGCCATGATCAAACACAGCACACGACTCTTCAAACAAGCCGTTTACAACAACAAATACTTCGTTTTTTGACCGTGAATGTACAGAAACTCAAGTCACATTATAAATCAGAAGTACTAGTAATTCAAGCTTTATTAATTCAAAATCACCTGTAATTGAAAACAATCAAATTTAACAATTATTGTAAAAATCAATCTTGAAAAAAAATCCAACAAAAACATTAATGGTACAAATAGTAAATGAATACTAGAAATATACAATTTTTTGCACTTACATGCCTAACCGTACCGGTACATCCATAGTTGTAATAAGCCAATCTATAACTACTTGTCTCCAGCTCCTAAATACTGGGATCTAATAGGTTTGTTTTAACCTGGCATACACATTATATGCCTATATTGATATATTTCATTATTAGAGAGAAATATCAATATCTCCATGAATGTTTTCCTCCGACATTCAATTCCTACAGTTCATAATGCAACAAGGGTATTATGCTATTGTGAAATTAAATACACAAGCTTATACACAACAGAACTTATTTAAATTGTCTGTCTATTTAACTGTACTTCTGGCAGGTAATGTACACAGCCGGGGACGTCTGTCAGGCATTCATGCTGGGATGGCTGATCCCCACACGTGTTCAAGTTTTAAAAGTATTGAATGCCTTCCAAGTCTGGGCTGATACAATCAGCTCCTACCTTCGGACTGCTTATTGATGTTTACCAACAAATAGATCTACGGAATTCAAAACAACCAAATTATTGTACTGGTTTAAACTTTGCATACTTTTAAAGGGTATAAAAATATCTACATTTTAAATGAATGCTTTCTTGGTCTAGATTGAGAAACAATGTAATACACCAGATTTTGGGCAAACCTTAATTATTTCCTTTCCTCAGTAATTAATGACATCAATTGATTAATTTGTACATTAACATGGATTGTTTATAAAAAAATGTCTTCACCTTGAAAGCTTAACTACAAATACAGTCCAACCTCCTCATCAAAAACTTGATGGGACCAAGAAATTCAAAATATTTTTATTGACTATCGCTAACATGCTGCCTTCTGACAGTGACAATTTTTCAAAAGTCAGCAAATATCCTAGCAACACATATATCATATCTATATACTAGACTAGAAATATGTCCATAGGACATGAATAACACCACCCCCCACCCCCCCCCCCCCCCCCCCCCACCACCACCCCCGTACATTAGTAAACTTTTAAAATACATTATGAAAATCTGTATAAGCATATGAAGTTTGATGAGAATATTTCGCATAATTTGCAAAACTGATACTGAATCTAAACTAGAAATATATCCATAGGACATGAAGCTCCCGCCGAGGGTATATCAGAAATGCAACATGAAAATTTGAATTTGTATATGAAATTTCAGAATATCTTGAAAAGTGATGCAGTAGAATTGCTTACATCAGTATGTATCAGCATATGAAGTTTTAAGTAACACTAATTGAAGAAAAGTGAGGTCAAGGTCAAAGGAAGGGCCAATGTCAAAAAAAATTGATGCAGTTGAAAAGCTCTCATCAGTATGTATCAGCATATGAATTTGAAAAACAATATTATGAATGGTTTCTTTAAAACTGACTTAATCACAATTTGATAAAAGTGAGGTCAAGGTAAAATGAAAGTTCAAGGTCTAAATGTTGATGCAAATGAATAGGTCTCATCAGTATGTATCAGCATATAAAGTTTGACACTAATTTAGGAAGCGTGAGGTCAAAAGAAAGGTCAAGGTCAAAAATGTTGATGCAATTGAATAGCTCTCGTTGGTATATACACTGTATCAACATATGAAGTTTGATAAAAATATCTTCAATGGTATCTTTAAAACTGAGTTAAACATTCATTTAAGAAAAGTGACGTCAAGGTCAAAGTAAAGGTCAAGGTCAAAAGTGTTGATGCAGTTGAATAGCTCTCATCAGTGTGTATCAGCATATGGTGTTTGATAAAAATATCTTGGATGAATTCTTTAAAACATGGCTAAACACTTATTTAAGAAAAGTGAGGGTCAAAGGAAAAGTCAACGTAAAAAGTGTTGATGAAGTTCAATAGCTTCCATCAGTGTGTCTCAGCGTATGAAGTTTGTTAAAAATATATTGGATGGTATCATTAAAACTGAGCTAAACAACCATTTAAGAAAAGTGAGGTCAAGGGAAAGGTCAAGGTCAAAAATGTTGATGCAGTTGAGTAACTTTCATCAGTGTGTTTTAGCATATGAAGTTTAATAAAAATATCTTGAATGGTATCTTTGAAACTGAGCTAAACAACCATTTAAGAAAAGTGAGGTCAAGGTCAAGGGAAAGGTCTAAGTAAAAAAAGTTGAGGCAGTTGAATAGCTATTATCAGCATGAATCAGCATATGAAGTTTGATAACACTATCTTGAATGGTATCTTAAAAACTGAGCTAAACACTCAATTAAGAAAAGTGAGGTCAAGGTCATAGGAAAGGTCAAGGTAAAAAAAAATGTTGATGCAGTTGCATAGCTTTCATCAATATCTATCAGCTTATGAAGTTTGATGAAAATATCTTGGATAGTTTCTTAGAAACTGAGCTTTGAATAGAGATCAACGCAAAGTGTGACTGAAGGACAGACGGAAAGTCAAGACGGACATGACAAACACTATATGCCACGGCCATATTCATGTTGGGGCATAAAAAAAAAGTTGATCCTTACGTCAGGGGTTTGAATCCCACTGTGGGACATGGAGAACGGTCGTTTGGATGAGACGTAGAACCCGAGGTCCCTTGTTGCAGTAGGTGTTGGCCATGCATATTTTGGATAAAGCCTGTTCAGCTATTTCTTAATTGAAATTGTAATATCAATTCATAAGCTTTGGATAAATTAAACATGAACAGATCAAGAGGATGGGTGGGTGGGGTCCAGACCCCACTCCCTCTTAAAATTTGCAGATTTACTGAAGTGACCTTGGACCTCCCTTGAACTTTAGATTGGTATGAAAAGTCATAGATATGAAGCTAAAGAAGTCAAACCCCTCCTCCCTCTTATTGACTATCTAGAACAAATTGTAATACAGCACCTACCTGTATGTTGGTGGTTCATATGAATTTTCATTATAATAATCTGGTTTCTCTAGATGGGACAGCTGAAAAAAAAAATTAGTATTGACTTAATGAATATTTCAAACCTACCTTACTGTTACACTGTTAAGATGTTCAACAACAAAGTGTTTAAAAACTAAATTTGCTTTTTTGCAAATCAATAGCTACTGTCATTTAATTCTGAATCAGATTATTATATATATACATGTAAACGTAACATACTGGTATTATGAATAAACTACTTGTTGTTTCTTTTGGTAACTGTTTTAATTTTTCAGTCAGATAATGCATGCACACTAGTGTATTTTCAATAAATTTTGCCTTTTAATTTTGTGAGGACTCAACAAATCCATTTGATCTAGTATCACAGAAAGCAGGCTTCAAACTTTGAAATCTTGCTTTACACCATTAACACAATTTTCAAGAGTGTACTCATGAACACTCTTTCACCTTCACCGCAGCATTAAACCAAGCTACCCGCTGTCAATACCAATGTTATACATGAATCAATTAAGTTATTCTACCAAGCTAAATGTTAAATACCAGGAATGTTTGATTCTATTTGTTAAGTTCAAGTAGTAAGAAGCACTGAAGGGTCCTTCTTATTCCCTTACCACTATGTTGCACTTACTTGCTGACCAGTACTTTTTTATTAGTATGCTACATTAAGAATAGTAGACTGACTGCATAAAACTGTTCATTATGTACATATTGTACTCTCTATGTAGTAAGTGTTATAATCAGTATTTAGAATTAACAAATTACAAAAAAAAATTTGAACATACTTTTTAGATCAGTTACGTGTTATTTTTCAAATTATTTTTGGTAGAAAATAAAAAAAACATTCAGGCAGACACAGCTCTTGTCACTCACACATCCAAATGACGGTCACTGGCCACCCTTCACATGGAAGACCTAGCTGATAGGAAATCTAGCTAGGCTGTCCAAATAATGATCTGCTTCAGAAATAGATTTTTGTTCCTAGGATGTTCTTTTATGCTTGGATAAGAATCTTAAAATTTTAAGTTATATAATTTTAGTACCAAATTATCATCTGGAAACAATACTGCATAAAATATAAATTTTAACTCCTTTAGTTCATTAAAACTCTCTGTTTGGGAAACCACATGTTCTTCAAATACATTCAAGGGTTGAGTGCTGTTAACTTTTTTTTAATACTAGTGCATGACTGATACCTTACCAATGATATCATAAAGCATATTGCAAGACATAAACAAGTCTTTATCTATATTCATCACTATGCATATACATGTATTGGGAAATATTATTTCTTCTTCAGTTTACGTATATTAATTTATAATCTATATTACTGGTAAAAGATACATATCATTCTATGAAAGCAAGAAAGATGTACCATCACATATATACCATATAGCTAGAAACTAAAGCTCAAGGATTGGTTCTTACCAAGTAGAGTTGTTCACTGAGAATAAGGTCAGATGGAGAATATGGATATTTCCATCCAACAACCTGCAGAACACCCCTTTAATAAGTATTTTACATCCCAAATTTGAAATGGATTGATCATTATGTATTTCTTTTTCAAAAGCTTAACACATAAAAACAAAGAATTAGGCTATATATTTTTACCCCTGAATTTAACAGATGTTAAAAATTTATGCTTAAAAGTTCTTACCCCTTCAGAATAAGGACGTGACATACGCATCGGTTGGCCACTGTAGACATGATTTGTAACGCGGGTTGGAACACCTCGTGGACCGAGGATGAACATTTTTTGCTTCATGCTGCTAAGCGGAGTAGTAATGGGCATCCCATTCTTGTCAACGAGTCGTAGAGAATCCAAGCCAGGATGAATTACTTTGCGAAATATTCTGTTCGTGGCCTGGAAATCTGCATTATCAAAATAGTTGTATAGACATGCTATTTATTATCACAATAACCTCATAATACTTTGAAAATTACTTCTTTTTAAAATCTGTTCTGAATGCTAAATATATATATAAACCACTAGATACATTAATGATTAAAACAAAGCAAAACATTTCTAAATCTTAAAAAAAAATATGTCAAATAATATTAGATATTTGAATGGAAACAAGATTAATTTGAACTATCAAAAGATAGCTTTTCTAACTGAAAATCCATAAGAAATTCAATCCCATATCAGATATAAATCTATTCCAGTTGTGGACCATTCCAGAGAGTAGTACTATTTACTGTAAAGTTGTTTCAGTGGAGAGAAATTTTTAAGAATTTTTATGTACAAATAATCAACATTATTTAAGCAACATACACATTGGCTATTATACACTTATCCACTGGGTGTGAGTGGGATAGCTCTTTTATCAAACCCGCGACAGAGAACTATTCCCCGAGGGCTTGCCCGAGGGGAATATTTCCTGTCAAGGGTTTGATAAAAGAGCTATCCCACTTACAACCAGTGGATAAGCGTTTTATTATACTGATGTATAATATAATTTCTGAGGTTTGGATTTTTTGGAGTAAGATAATACTGTTAGAGTAATCTAAATTCTGATGACGTCACAATGCTACTGCAGTCATTATGACATCATCAGTTTGAAGATTTATCGCTAGAAATCAAAAATTGACGGCAAAAATTGCATGAAAATTTTCCGAGGGTGGATAGCAAAAACTATACCCCGGGGTATAGCTTTGCTATGCGTGAACTATAAAGGATAGTTATTTTACCTTCTGAACTTTATACAGGAAACATTTTAACAGAAGTATAATAACAAAAACTATACCCCGGGGTATAGCTTTGCTATGCGTGGACTATCAAAGATAGCTATTTTACCTTCTTAACTTTATATAGGAAACGTTTTAGCAGAAGTATAATAATACCTGTAGATATATTTGAAGCAGAATGGCAATCATGAGAAAGGCTATATAATTTGTAAAAATGGTAGTACATGTATACACAAGTATATATGGACAATATCGTCGATAAAATGATTTTATAATAATTATCCTCTCCATGCCCCATAGGATGCATGAGACCGTTTCAATAAAATGAGGTAACTAATAATTGTTCCTGCAATTTTATGCAATTTCAAACAATGTGTGGGTTAGATTAGCATGTAAAGTTATGAGTCAATTTCTATTATCTTGTAGTGTACACAAAACAAGATTTAAGTTTAATCTTTCAGACAACAGTGTCATTTAAAATCAATTTTTTGTACTAGACATTTAACAAAAGTTGAAAGCCTTAATCAATACCCCTAAATCAAGCTTCTGGAACGGTTAACGAAATGTTCACCATAGTCCTACATTTTATAGATTTCAAGCTTATAAAATGTTTAACAAAACAAAGAGAAACAAACTTGTGGCATTTTTTCACTTTTGACACTTCAAATCGACAATATTTATTGAACAGGTTGGCATGCGACAATAAATCACTTAGACTGTATTATCAAACCCATTTAAAACACGACATATTTTTTATTTAAAGATACAGATCGTCTGCTATCTGCAATTTAATCGTTTGTAACTCACCACTACTTCTCTGCGAATCCATCATTTTCCAATCAATTATTGTACAGAAAACGACATTTTTGGCGAACAGCCACTCGCTAACACAATTACAACAGGGTCATGTAATGTCAAGCATAGCTTTCACTTCTCAGCTATGTACAACACTTGTGATTTTTAGCGACTCGCGCCATTTGTATACCTGTGACGTCACGGTTACTATGAAGAGGCCAGGGAGCGTTCAGTTTTCCGATTGTATCCGGAAAGTGAAAGTAAACCCAGGGAGGGATTATTGTTGTAGTACAACAAAAGAAAATGTTAAAAACAAACAAGAGAAGGTTAGCAATTAACTTTCCGCCTATAAAAATTACTTAAATTCTTGTTGTTTTTACAAAGATCCCCCCAGTACTATTCCATCCACCATTCCTTTTTATCACATGATACAACAAATTTCAAAATTTCTCTTTTTCCCAACTTACAAATATTAAAGTAATTAATTTCAAACAAACAGCATATTATGACAGAATTATAATTTTTAATAATACTGAATTTTTCTGTTTAAATACATGTGTTTGAGGTAATATGCATACAATACAAATAATTTTGAAATTCATACGAATTACAGGTTGGTAATATACAATTGTATGATGTTTTATTTTTAAAAATAAAATTATTGCTCATGCTATTTTGACTTTGAAACAATCAATTTATTTATTTACTTTGATAAGTGATATTCAGATTATGACATGATTGCATTTTTTTTCCTTCTTTTTTTTTGATATGAACATTTTCTGGTAAAATGCATAAGATAGAAAAAGAAATAATATAATAGATACAATAGATTGGAAATTGCAATACTATGAACACCCAGCATATTGCTATAAACTACTAGAAATCTGTGTCATGTGATTGTGACATCACTGTCTATCATTGACAATGTCTCATCCAAAGGACGGCAGTTCATCATTGTGCATTAAATTGCAGAACTCAGGGTCAAATGTCAGACTGAGCTAAAAATGTCCTGATTCTCTGTAACAATTCCTTTTTAACATTATCTGGGACCAAAGCTGAAAGAAAAACAAAAATCTCTGACATACAAAAAAATTATAATGCAAAGCAAATTTATGATGTTTGCAAATTACAATTTTGCTAGCCTACATTGATTTTCAGGGCCCATAATATTCTGTCCACTTTGAATAAAATAAAAAAGAAATCTCTATAATAATATGCTCATCACCAATTCAGTGAAAAGGAAAGGGAAATACAACATGTAGCCCTCAAGGTATTCAATACATAAATAGAAAATAAATATTTCTTAACTAACCTGACAAAGTGTCAACTCAAGAAGCACAGGTAATCAAAGATTACAGAGGTGAGAGCTCACCTTAACAAATATTATCCCCAACCCCCTCCCCATTTTATTTTTGTCCCTTTCGCCCTCATCACAGTTGGGCAAATTGAAGACTGGGCGAATTCAAAGCAAACAGCATTATCATTATATACAGAATTGTGTGTGGGCAAATCAAAAGGGACAAATGTGTCTGCAGGTGTGAATGCGCAAAAATAAAATGGGGTGACAATAACTCTGTATACAGTAGTAATGCAAATCTTAAATCATAATTTTTTTAGTCTGCATTCTGAGATCAATATCCATGATGTTTGTTTAAGTAGGACTTATATTTTCTTGGGATGGACCTGCACCAAAAACTTAAACCTGATCTTTTTTCTGGATGAGTGATCCAGTTATGCTGTATTAAAGCAGGGATATTTTTGTCCCAATTTATTTTTGCCTTTTCACACCACTCACATTGAAATGGGCAAATTTAAAATGAGGCAAATCCCAAGAACACAGCATAATTTCTTCGACAGAACTGTAACTGGGCAAATTTAAAATGGGGCAAAAGTGTAAAAGGGCAAAAATAACACAGGGCAAAAATATCCCTGTATCAGGTTGTATGATAGGTAATCAAAGATTACGAAGCTCACCTCGACGAATGTTATCAGTTTAAATAATGCAGATCTCAAATCATATTTTCTTTATAGTTAGTACGCATCCTGATGTCTTATAGTTCATTGGGAGTTGACCTGTTCCAAAATCACTAAAACACTTTTTTTTCTCCTTCATCCAAAGCAAGTCTACATTTGTCAATCCCTAGATGCATCATCCATGCAAGTTAAATCAGAACAGGCCAACAAATTGCAGAGATAGTCCAAAAACACGAACCTGGTCACACATCTGGAAAATGTAGGTCAGCATCTGGAGCAAGTCTGGTAGTGTCCATCCCTAGATGCATCAGCCATGCAAGTTTGGTCCAGGTAGGACTTTGTCGAGGTGAGCCAAAGATGTTTACAGAAAGATTACCTTGGTAATTTTACATTTTGTTTGCAGGGGTATGGAAACTCAAAACTCTATTACATGTATACATAGTGACTAGTGTATAACCTGCATCAATAGATGCACCAGTGGTATAATACTAATGTATGGTACATATGCTACAAATATAAAGTGACAAGTCTCCCTTCAAATAACACACCTCTGGGGGTTGTCATCTTTTTTAAATAATATTGATGAATAATACTTAATTGTGAATTTGTATTTTTTCATTTTAACCTTACTGATTATTATGTACAAGTATTATTATTTAATATCTGTATCTTTACCTATTATACAAGGAGAGGGTGTACACAGGCATGACCTGTTGCCCAATCCTTATTGTATTATTCAATAAAAATATGTTTAAAATACACACCTCTTCCTTTTGGAGTAATTTCTGCAACCAGATCATCCACTGTTATATGTTCCAACCCTTTCTGTTTAACAACCTCTGGAATGAAAATATTCTCTATAATTATTATCGGAAAATTAAAATATTTAATAATGATACTTAGTTTTTATTGCTCTCATGCGTGTACTATTTCACACCTAGTATGGTACATATTTATCAATTACTTGAAGTTTATCACTGGGGATACATTGTTTTAGTTTTGTATTTTCCCTTTGATTTTTGCTTTCTTTCTGCAGATTCAAAGCCATACTTTTACACAAGTGGAGACTGGAGTTTGTATAAATTGTAAAGTGTAAGTTAATTCAGCCCAAGGGAAATGAATTCATGCTTTGGACAAAGATTTTACTCAAAAGACTGAATTTACCATGATCTTATAATGAACTTTCCAAGTTGTTTCCAACTCCAAGAATTCTTTATCTAAGCTAAATTTGAGCTCTTTGACAGAAAGCACACAGTTATCTAACAAATACCCTGGTAATATCAAAATATTTCATTCAATTGACCTGGAAACATGGGTCAGGTCACTGCAGCAAGCTTGCCTAGGCTTTTTTTCCCAAGCATTTCAGGTAAAGCATGAACAATACTTCACCAAAAGGAAAGAACTTACATGTTAAGCCCCGAACAAGGGCACACTGAAGATATTATGTTTTTACCTTTAACTTAGAGCTTTTGAATCATAGGTAATGTGAAGGATGAGCCAAACTGGTCCAATGACAGAAAATATATCTCTCAATTTTTTTCTCGAGATCTGCTTTCAAAATGACTCATTTACTCAAGAACCTCCTGTACATGATCCAGATGTAGCAAAAGGGAGAGAAATTTTGCTCTTGATGAATATTTCACACAGAGACTTATTCATACCTTTACCTTTGACTAAGGACCTTGCATGGATCAATTCCAACCATTAGGCATTTATCCATTAACACTCTATGGGTGATGTCTGATCTACACTGGGTGAAGGGGAGGAAAACCAAAGTTGATATTCATTTTTAATGAATGAACCTTTATTTGGGTATTTATACCTTTACAGTGTTGTTTAAGTTGATCTCGCCAGCCACATTCTATCAGTCTGGTTCTCAGCAATTCTTTTAATCTAATTTAGAAAAAAAATCTTATTAGATGTTCAGACTTCAATGCATTGAACAATTATTTTCAATTTAAATTTCAATTTTCATCTCGAAATATTATAATATAGATCCACATCATTGAAAATTTATATAAAAACAACTTTTTGGTAAACAAGTTTTTCTCACAGGGACTTGAGACAGTCTTTAAGCAAAATCGGGTATATTGTATAATAGGGGAGAAGGGACCTAACGAGTCGCCATTAATTCCTCGATGCCTCACTTCAAACTCTGAAAACTGTGATTTTTATTCAAAAAACCCATGAAAATGTTTTGCCACTCGAAAGGCAGAATGTTGTCCTTTATTGTCATAAATTGATCATTTACCTTTCTTCATTAAAACTTAGAAGAAAAAAAAATATTTGAACTTCCGAGAATTAGGTCGCCATCGTTAACCCTACACCATTTTTTCCATACAATTTTCGGGCATTACCTTAATTTTTCCGCACTTTCATCTGTTGCACCTATCTTAGAGCAATGTTTAAAAATATAACTGCTTTTGGTCATCCTCACAATATTTGAGGGATTGCTGATCGTCCGTCTTGAGACATCAGCTCCATTTTCACCTTCGATTAGACTCAGAGTTCAATTGGGTCAGCTATATTTGATTGCATAAAAAACTAGCAAAATTATCCAATTGTCTTTCACCGTTTAAACTTAAGTCATTCAGTGCGGATTTCATTCAATAAGTTTAACCCGATAGATACCCGATTTTGCTAAGACTGTCTCAAGTCCCATTGTCAGTGTGGTTTTTCTGTTCTGTATCCCTCATGATTAAGTCAATAGAACATTGGTCATATTGGTTACCACAGAAGAAAAAAAAATTCCATGAGATTAATTTTACAAATTTTAGGGCATTTTATATTGAATTTGGACAAGTGGTCTCAACATGTTGTTCTCAGGGCATCAACGATAGAAAAAACCCAATTAGAAATGTAAACATAAAGCGATAATTACAATCTACATTGCAAAGAGGAAAATCAGGTAATCGGTAATTATCAGTAGATTTTAGTCACAATTAATTCCTCAATTACAAGTTAACCTTTACTTACCGATCACGTTCTCCTGTCTCTACTAACTTCTGGTTAATGGTCGCTCTCATCTGAGCATCTTTACGCTTTATTTCACTGAAATATAAGAAATTCTTTGTGTAACTTATCTCTTTAAGAATGGATTTTCACTTATTGGTAAAATAAACTTTTAGATAACTAAAAATACCAAAATCATTTGAAAAATATGCAAAAAATGTTCTTACTCCGCCATGATTGTTATGCTGTGTTCAGAATAAAATGATTTTAGATCCCGATCATTTTAATTGACGTGTAAGCCCGTGTTTCTGCCATATGATAAAACAATAACGAGATGTACTTGGTATAAGTTAACTTTTTGTGTGACAAGATTTTTCCAAATATACAATGATTTTTAAACCTTATTTGTTTGATTTTTTTTTTCAAATTTTTAACAAAAATTACTTTATTTCAATATTATTGTCATACTCATAACTTTTGAATGATTGAAGACAGGCCAGTTTTGTTTGACAGATGCATTACCTGTTTCAAGACCTTTCCTGAAAGCCATATATGGCGTATGTACAATGAAAATTACCGGGGGTATTAGACTAAAATTATAAGAACTTATTAATTGTATCATTTCTTTATATAAAGATAAAAACTTATCCCTAAATTACAAAATCTAAGTCAATTGCGTTATAAAGATATCACAATTTAATTTGGATTTTCGGAATTTTCTCCGACTCGGAAGAAAATACAAAAGATTTAAATAACACATTACAGAGAAGATAAAATCGCATTATTAGTTGAAACGAGATGTTCTCCGTGTTCAGAATTGTATGAAAAGTTTTAATTTAAATGTATTAAATATATTTCTTTACTTAATTTTATATTTTTCAAAAATATATTTTTTTCATCAGTTACGCCATATATGGCTTGAAGTACTCTTGTTTTTAATTGCATGACCTTGACCTTAAAGTTTGAACCAGTCTTTTTCTAAATTGCTTTCCATTGGTAATAATTAATTTTTTTAATGAGAGGATTAAGATAAGACATTCATATTGTTAACTTATTTTAAATCCTTTCAGAATATTATTGTAAGTGTACATATCTTTTTTTTCTTCCTGACATTGACCTTAATTTAACGGTTAACCTATTTATTAAACATATATTAAAGCTTTTAATAGCCACATTTTTTACTTCAGACAAGACAGGAATCTGATATTTCTAGGACACATACCCTTATAATCAAGACAAAGAGCTTTGGACTACAAAATACATATATAACTCCCATTATCCAACAGACATGTGAGCATATCCTTACACATTAACTTCATTCAACAATTTAAAAAAAAAACACATCCAACCCCAACCTCCAGATTGGTTTACTTTACAACACTTTGCTTTGTGAAATCCCATTCAAATCGTTTACACCCTTCTTACTTAGACAAATTCCAGGCTTGGGGTCAATTACTTTGAAATGTAATTAATTACTTTCAAATACATTGATAATTTTGTCAATTACTTGCAATTACAATTACATTGATTTTTTCAAATGTAATTAATTACTTTCAATTACTTTGACAAATGTAATTAAATACATTTCAATTACTTCAAGTTTTATTTTTATAAAAAAAAAAATAAAGATTTTTTTTAAAATAAGATTTTTTCTTTAGCAATCGAATTCGAACTTTCATTCATTGTTTTTGTTCTTGGGTATGATAGGGGTTCACACCTGGTCAAAATTATACCTTTACCTTACAATGAGTGTGACACACTGTATAAACAAATTAAACATTTTGAGACAATTAATTATTGTACAAACACTTAACACAGACAATTAATCATTGTACAAACACAAGCCCATGCTATACCAGTATGGTGTATGGTGGCAAGATCTTTTTTGTTACTTTCTCAAATCCATATTTTTGAAGGAAATAAATAATATCTATCACAATTCCATTCATTATTTTCTTTCTTAAAATGAATAGAATACAGGTAAATCTAAAAGGGGATGTAGTTACATGTAGTCTAATTGCTGTAAAACAAGTTAACTATCTAAACAATCATTGTTATTTGCAAGTGGGAATAGGGAGAACTGAGATTTATAAAACATGGGAATAAGTAATATAAACCAACCAATATAAAACTATGTATCAGTATAAGACAACCTTTTTAAATATAAACTTTCATTTTGAAAAAAAGTAATCAGGGCTCTCAATTCTCTAAAATTGGGGCCGTTCAACGGCCCCGTTCCCAATGCAAAAAAGGTACCTTTTTTCCCAAAAGAAAGGTGTAAATTTCCCAATATCCACCCAGAGTAAAATATTAATTAAAAAATAAAAGTCCATCAAACCTAATCGCAAAAAAAAACCCCAAACAAAACACATTTGCAAATGAAAGTGAAACTGTACTACTATTTTATTAGTTCGCGCCAAATGCATTCGTAAATCGGGGAACCAGGTTATTGTTTTTACAAAAATGTATACAACTATGAGTGGAGAGTATCTTGTTATGTAGTTTCGACAAAAACAAGCATTTTGGTTTCAAAAATAGACATTTCATTTAAACATTAGTAAGCTGCACCTAGAAACATACCCGCGCTTTGGCATGTTCAGTCTCGCGCTGTATTGGTAAGCAAAGTTGCCCATGTGATCGAGGAAATTCGGGACTATGTGACTAGCGACTGTCACGAGGTAAGACATATAACCGCAATATCAACACTCAAAGATAGTAATGACAAAGCTAATGTACTTTCATAAATAGCCGACGTACCCATGTTTAACTGTTTAACTGTTTATTCAAACCAGAGTTAGCATTGATGATAAAATGCTAGAAAAGCAAAATTTGAGGATTTTTTTTTTATGAATTTGTGTTGTCCAACTTTTCCCAAAATGACGATAATTTTCCCAATTTGAACGGCCCCAGTCCCAAAAAGTGGTGTGAGAGCCCTGGTTACTAATTGAAATGTAATTGAAAAGTAATTGAAAATACATGACCTTTTTTGAAATGTATTTAAATACATTCAATTACTTGTAATTGAAGGTTCGCTCAAATACAAATTACTTCCAATTACTTTGAAAAATGTAATTAATTACACTCAATTACAATTACTTTATTCAATTACCCCATCCCTGACAAATTCACCATTGGAAATATGAAATCTGTACTCAGATTATGTAATCCGTCTTGAAAGAATGGGATTAAAAGTACATCCATGACAACTTCATGATTCACATTTTATTTATTCAATCAATATTGTAGCTACATATGGATACATTTTAAACATACAAACATATATCAATAACACAATACATGTTAATAAAAATTGCACACCATTAACAATAAATTAATGTCTTGATTGCTTTGAAATATGACACTGAACACTAAAAATAAAATTCTAAAGTCTTCTACTTTTTTTGAATTTCAATAACTCCCTCTGAAGCCTCCTCTGCCCCCCTGGAACCCCCCACCCCCAAATCCTCTTCCTCCCCCTCCAAAACCACGACCACCTCCTCCAAAACCTCTTCCTCCTCCCCCGAATCCACGTCCACCTCCTGAATGTAAAAAAATATGTTACTTTCATTTCTTTTTATGTAAATTTAATTTTTACTCACATTACTTCATACATGTATTTGACAAAGATGCTTTAAATGTTGGTAATTTTCTAGCTGCAATAATGTAGCCCACTCCTTGGAGATGGTTACATTATCGCAGCTAGTAATTTCAAATTCAAAAACATGAAACTTTACCAAATCCTCCACCACCCCTATTGAATCCACCCCTTCCTCCTCTGAATCCTCTGTATCCTCCTCCAGCTCCAAAATTAGACATTCCTCCTCCATAGCCTCCTCGGAATCCTCCTCCTCTGGGCGGGCCGCTACCAAACCTTGCCATCTTATGGGGTGGTTCTCTACAGCAACAGCAAATAAATCCATATAGAGCAACATTATGTAGTGACAAGCCCACTGTCCAGCATTTTTATCACCTAGATCCAGTTACTTGTTTAGCATTGACATACAATAATGCTGGCATATTTCCTTTCTTTAACATTTTATTTCATTAGCAATCTGCAAATAACAGGTAAAGCACAGTACATAGTGGAATTATTTCGATGTTTTGATTCATTAAAATGATAAAATACTCATAATTAAAAATAAGCACATGTATCAATATTTTCAACAAATCTGTAATACAGACTAGATAACACAGCCTACCCAGTATCATCCTCACTACTGAGGTTAAACTTCCCAGCGTTGGGTCGTGACAGGGACCTGACAGCTGCCATCAGAGACTCCTCCTGTGACCCTGGGTTTTGAATCCCCTCCGGGTTATTGGTGCTCCGTACAATTAAGGCCTCCAGTGCTGGACGAAGGGCCACAATTTTGGCTGCAGCTTCATAGTCCATCTTCAAGTTGATCCTACAGACAAGGAAGATAAAATTACATATACAAGAACATCATTTTCAAAGGATAGCTTGGAAACTGAACAATCAACAAGGGCCTTGATGATAATATTTGTGAATGGACAGACTGATTAGGGCACCTGTAAATCCTTGCCCAAAAGATATGAGGTCATGTATTTCTTACTCCTCTATTTTAAATACTTCAAAAGGTTAAAACTTTTTTCATTTTAATACCATTTATCCAGGGTGATATTGCCCTCTTCTAACATGACATTTCTTGCTGCAAACATCAACAGCTGAAGTGGGGACACCATAGACATCTGTTTACATGAGACTGCTCGAGTACGAATCTGTCAGAGATCAAATATTGACATAACATTATAATGAAGCAGGAAAAGAACAAGGTGAAATAAGGTGAAATACAAAGAATTGCGTATACAGTTTTGAAAATACCAACCTTTTCACCAAACACAAAGAACGGTGATGGAAACTTGACATCTTTATTGGAACAATTAACGGAGGATTTGTGTACCAGGGCTGCTCTGCTCTCTGTAGTGAGAACCTTGCGTTTCTCCTTGTGATAACACACATTAGGATACAAACCCATACAAAGCAGAGATATCATCTGTAAGAAGAGGATTCACTTTTAATAATTCAAATGTGAATAATCGGCAGCAACTATCTAGTGGCATTTCTTACTTAAAACATAGGTAATCAGAGATTACAGAGCTCACCTCAACGAATGTTGTCTTTAAGTAAGGCAAATTAAGTCACACAATTAACCAACAAAAAGTGTACATCCAAAATGCAAAATTTATGCAATTTTGATATGGAATAGACCTATATAAAAACTTAAAACTAGTTCTTCATCATGAAAATGTAATTAAAATCCAGCATCTGAAGCAAGATTGAGAGTTTTCATCACTTGATGCAT